GGCTGACACATTGGCCAACAAAGACTTAACCAGTTTCCAACTTCGGTAAAACCTAGCATCATTCAGAAAGGCTGGCCTAAGCGTCAGCGAGAAGCAGCAGGGGCCCTGGCGCTGGGAGGCAGTGTCTACAGATGAGCGATGGCTTATTATCAGCAGTGACCACAGAGCGAGTAGGAGGGAAGGAATTCAATTTCCAGTTACACTTGGAAGACATGATTGAGAGTTCTTGAAATAAGGGCTGGTAGGTGAATCTAATAAAGTGTGTGTCTCAAATTGCCAACTTAATTCATTCTTACTGTTTCTCAAATTTTATCCTTCACTTCAGTTTGAGTTTTAAGTACACTTAATGCTTTTTGCAAGGCATATACTCAGTGAAGATAGCTTGTAATTCCCAAAAAAGTGAATGCATTTCTGGTGTGTGTGTGTGTGTGTGTGTGTGTGTGTGTGTGTGTGTGTGATTTTCTTATTAATCCAAGAATCAGAGTCATGGTTCATCATTCTAAAATAGCACAAAGGACAAGAACTCTGCATGTCAATATTGGTGAGTGGCCTTGACCTTGTAAAAACATCATATTCCTGGTTGATTTTTAAAGGTATATTTTAAATGGTATTTTTAAAACTTCAAGACCATCGAACCTACGGAAGAGCATTCGATATCACCAACCATGACATGTGCTTTGTTCTTTTCTCCAGTTCACGTAATAGACCTGCTTCTGTAAAGTCAATACACATGAAAGTTTCTTCTTGATCTTAGCTTCTCTGGATTGCCTAGAGTCTCTCTTTATTTAAGGTTTTATGAGAGCAAGAAAATCAGAAACACAGCTCTACTGATAGGCAATTGTTTTTCATGGCACTAAAGGAAAGGGAGCTGTGTAGATTCCTGGGAGAATTCAAGAAAAACAGACCTTGTCTCCCACAATAGCCAGTGTTTTAGTGCAGCACATCACCTACAGCCGCCCAGGAAATGAAAATAAGCCTTGAAAGCTCCATTTTCCTCAGAGGAACTAGGAGAAATACCTCCATTTACATTTCTCAAGCAAAGCCAGGTGTGACGGCTCACACCTGCAGTATCAGCACTCTCAAGCAGAAGACTGCAAGTTTAAGCCCAGCTTGGGTAACTTAGCAACTTAGCAAGACCCTCATTATTATTTATCAAAATAAAACATGGAAAGTAGTACTGGGGTTGTAACTCAGCATGAAGGCTATGGGTTTATAACCACAGTGCCAAAAGAAATCCCCAGGAGGAATGGTGCTTTAGGGCAGGCTTGTATGCTTGAGTTGCTTGGTGTTTCTAAGATTCAGTATGGTGGGTACAGGAGATAAAGGTCAGAAAAGGGACCTCCAGATTTGTTCAGTGCTGAAGAAACACAGTACAACTGAGAAGACCTTCCTCCCCTCTCTGCATCTCTCCCCAGCCTCCACCCCTCCACCCAGTCTAGGGCTAGGAAGTCTGAGCGGTGCTGACACCTAAGCCTGCAGCCAGTTATACGTGAAGGCAAGCCGAATTGTTCCAGAAGGCGTGAGCTGATCTTAGGTGCCTACCATGAAGGCCCAACTGCATGGCCCAACCTTTCAAATATAGTTTGAGCATCCCTAAACCAAAAATACAAAAGCCAAACTTTCTGAGTTGCTGAAAAAGTCTTGGATGTTGGAGTATTTCACACTAGAGATGATTACCTGGTCAAATCTATGGAAATATCCTAAAATCTGAAAAATTCCAAAACTGAAATTTCTGGTCCCAAGCATTTCAGATGCAGGATACACCACCTGCACTAAAATTCCCTGTCATAGTTAGTCATCAGTGGCCTGAAAGGGTACACTCTGCCTTCCATGCATAGGAATCTGCCTGGGGAGCAGGTCTGCTGGGGTTTGTGGAGCACCTTGGATGAGAGCACCTTGGATGAACTTCATAGTGAAGTTAATCACTACAGTGAATTCCCTAACTGTCCGTACCCTTGCTGTATCCATCTTGTGTGTGTTGCTATGCATGTCTGCATGGAGAAAGGGTGGTTGGAGGTAATAAGCTGTATTTTTAAGGAGTTTGTGCCCATACTTGTTGTAGAGTGCCAGGGAGAAGGTAGGCACTTCCAAAATGGTACTTTCTCCAAAAAGAATCAAAGTCCTCATAGGGAGCACTTTTGCCCATAGCATCTCTGGAGCAACCTCGGTTTTTCCAATCTAGAGAGCTTTTGTAAGTGTTATTTTCATTTTGTATTTTTTTCATTCAAAAGCCTTTGAAAAAATTAATATGTGAAAGTGTAATGCACACACTGAAAAATTAAACCAAAGACACATGGTACCCCAAAGCACGTTTATACCTCCAACATTTAAATAAACACAGTCAGGATCTCTAGGTTGAGAGCAGTTTTGCTGCCTGTGGGCTATTTGGTAATTGTTGGATGTATTTTTGGCTGTCGTGTTTAGTATGGGGGGTGATATTGGTCAAGGACGCTGCTAAACATTGCACATGACACACTTTCACTGCAAAAGTGTACCCAGCCCCGCATGTCAGTCATGCTGAGACTGAGAAACCCTTGTCTAGACCTTAACTACCAGCACTGATAGCCTTCAAACCAGGCTGATCCATCCACAGTCAGTGTCCCCAGCAGCAAGAAAGTAACTCCTGGTTCGTGCCCAGCACATTTGTTAGTTTGCCTCCTCCTGCAGTGAACTCTGTTTATTCCTACCTCATCATGGTGGCTCCAAACCCACCACTGCCCCCACCTTTTTGGAAAGCTCCCACACTTTCACCTGGCATTCGGGGTCTCACAGCAAAATGGTTTGGGTTGATCTTGTTGAGTTGTTGGCTTTTCCAGCTCCTCTGGCCTTGGAATCCTGGGCTCCAAGTCCAGGCTCCCTAGTTAGACAGACCTGAATTTGAGTCCCTTCCTGATCAGTAGCCGCAGATTCTCAGGTGAGATATTCACTGCTCTGAATCACAGTTTTTTCTTTTTCATAAAGCAAGATGCCAACGCTATGATCTTGCCTCCAAATCCTTTGCCTAATTAAGGGAATAACTACTGTTGTGTTATCATCGTGGTCCCAAGTCCCTAATATCTGGCGCAGACCCTGCCTGCGTGTTGTATGAGAACACGTGTGGACCATACACTCTCAACTGGTCCTTAGTGATCCACAGGGTGCTTAAGGAAGATATCAGACTAGAATGTGACAGCAGAAGTATGTATCCAAGAGAGGTATTCATTACCAATATGTGTTGAATCTATGCACCTAACGTAGGTAACTATACTTAAGAACACAGTTTATAGGCTCACATATGCCATGGTCTCCTATTAAAGTACACAAATTATAGACCCCATACCCCAGTACTCTAATCTCATAATCTGCAACGGTTGGCGACTTCTGTAATTTTAAAGTTCCCACTACCTGAGGCCCTCCCTAACTTTCATGTCCAGCACATGCTGTCCAGATGTCCCTGCTGTTGCCACCAGCACAATCGTTGTCTGCCCCATTGGCATTGTCCCTGAACTCAGCACTCCACCTGCTCCCTGCCTCCAGGAGACAGGACAAGAATGGAATAAACATAGAGAATTCATGGAAATCTTCATTTTCCCCATAGACATAAATTTAGTCACAAACTGACTTGAAGAGTAAAGTCATAATATTTTGTTCTTGATTATAGGGCCAGTAAGAAAGAGTCCACTTCTCTGGGAAATCTTCTTTTCCTCCATTCCTAAGAAACTCTTATTTTCTTGTGGAACCTCCTCTATTACACACTAGATAATAAAATAAGATACGATAATGGCTGTGTTGTTACACAGAAAACTCAAGCAACCAGTAAATTCCATTTTAAACAGTTCACCTAACTGAAGTATTTATTGGGCACTAGGTTGCTATTGGAGTTAAAAGTGGACTGAAATATCAGGTAAATAAGCCAAAACTGCCCTGAGCATCGCTACTCTAAAAGCATATCATGTGCTATAATGTACTGAGCCTTTGAGTTACACCTGCAGGCTACTGTATATGCATTTTTATTTCACCTTTTCTTAGGAGGGAAAAAATATCCTCATCATTACTGTTATCTTGTTCTCAATTGACCTATACACATCCTCCCATTTTACATTAATAGACCAATAAACAAACAAGTCCAGCAGCCACCCGGCCATCTTCTAACACATTGAGTTTGTGTTGGGAAAGCACACAGCTCCAAGAGTGTGGCGCAGAGAAAGCCTGCAACAAAGGGTAGTAATAATAATAATGATAATGATAATAATGACAATAGCATTTTACAAGGTTACTCCACTGAATGGCAGCCTCACTTTAGAAAAAAAAAAACTGAGTCTCAGAAAGTTCAAGCGAGTCACCCCAGGCTCCAGTGCCATTGTCAAAGCTGATACCAACTTGATTGTCTTACGTGACGCTTTGTAAATTCTGGATACTTTTGAGAGTTGTGATGGGTCAGCTCATCCACAACAGCCATCTGTCCTCCTGGCCTCCCACCCTCCTGAACTGTGTCATGGCTGGAGATGAAAAATCCCTTGTCCTTATCCTCAAGGTCAACACTAGGATGCTCTGCTTCCTTAGAGCTCCTTCTCAGGTGTCCAGAAGTAAGACAGCACCCGCTCTGAGGGTCTGCTACCCCTTGAACTCAGGAATCCCTCATGTGCTGGTAGAAATTTGCATCCTCTCCTGAAGCAGAGTTCACTTGGCCACTTTCACTAAGCAAATCTGTTGCTATACCAAATCCACCTCCTGCAGATGGAGAGCCACCAGTGGCCACAGCCGTTAACCTGAGCTCTAATTAGGGTGGTTTTATAATGAGGAAGAGACTGTGCTGCTAATTAGTAATTTTCCATCTTTTTCGCAGTAGGTATTCCCCAATCAAAGCAAAATGCTCTCCCACTCGCACTGGTCACATTGCCAAAACATAAAGGCAATATAGACCTTTAGCAAAAATGAAAATAGTGAAGGAGTCAGGGAAGCAGAACAGGTTTTCTTGCCACTGATGTGCTGTTTTCTTTGCTCCCTTGACCCTTCTTTAGACTCGAGGTGCTGCAATGGTTGGCTCTGACATGGTTGTCACCGTTGAGTTCACCAACCCTTTAAAGGAAACTCTACAAAACATCTGGATATACCTAGATGGTCCTGGCGTGTTAAAACCCAAAAGGAAAATGTTCCGGTAAGTGAAGTGACATCCCCAGTAGAATATCTGAGAAGCTGCAATTTCTAATGGACCATGTATGTGGGGCGGAGGGTAAAAATAGGATTAGTTTGCCCAGCACTTGAAACCTTAAACCCATCCCAATGAGACAGATACAGTTAGCATTGCTTTTCTATAGCTGAGGAATTTAGGACTTCAGAAAGCAATTGGTTTGCTCTCCATTTACACAGTTCATAAAGGTAGAACTGAAATTCAGATGCAAGGTTGCTGATTCCTCGCCCCAAGTTTCAACCACTGTCACACACCACCTTGTCGTGTATCAACTCTCCAAAGTCCTCAGTATCAGTATGTATGTACAGTGCATAGAATATGATGCTGAAAGATACCCCTTTAATAAGCTTTCTCTCTCCAGCTCTACCTGTTTGACGTCGCCATCTAATCACTATGTATAACAGTTGCTTTTATTTGCAATTCTTTTGGTAGAGCCTGAGGAGTTTTAGGACTTGCTTCCTCTAGAGCTAATATTAGTAATATTAGGAATGCAATGCAGCCTCTCCCAAACCCAGCACCATCAGATTGTGCCCTCCAGGTCTTTTTTTGTGGCTTCTTGTTGACAAAGACTCTCATCCAACAGGAGGGCCAATTCCATTGTCAGGTAGCTGTAATTGTAGGAAAACAGATCTTTTTTACATTTTGTCTTACCAGGGATGCTAATTCTGTTATCTGTACTGACACAAAATAAAGCCCATCTGTCTTGTGGCTGATGGCTTTCAAATGTCTGCAAACAGCTGTCTCATCTTCCTTGATCCCTCTCTACTTGGGACCAAATACCTGGCCCCGCTTCATCTTTCTCACCTGGAACGCAGTGCCACTGTCTCCCCCTCCCTCAGACTCCAGTTTGTCAGAGCTCCCCTTAAAGTGTGACACCCGGAATGGATCCCAATCTCTGAGGCTTATTGCTTTCATTTCTACCACAAATAAGTCCCTGTCAGCATCAATCAATCCAGCTCATTTCCTGTGGATGACCTTCTATGGCACAGAAAAGGACTTTGGAAACTATGCCAGACATGTTAGGAATTTCCCCAATTTCCCCTTATGGAAATGAGCCTACTCTGTAAGCTACAGCATAAATACAATACCTTACCCTTTCTAGACCAGCTTTATTCCCCACAGAGGACTCTATTTCTTTCAAACTATAAGGCTCACAATGTCCGAGTCCTGTCATTTAGGAGTTGCCTTATTGCAGATGAAATATATAGCAGAGAAAATCATTTGAGTGTTTTTCTTAGAATTCAGGCACAGGACATAACAACTTTCCTGTGCTAATAGGAAAAAAACGAATTGCAAGGGGAAAAAAGAATTGCATTAGAAATCAACCCCAGCTAGAGGAAGAGGTCAGCAATAATAACCCACTTTTGTCAGAAATGACAGTGTCACGCACCCATCTCACAGCCTCCCACTCAAATCAGATGCAAAGAATTCTGAGGCAAGGTGAAACAGGTTTCCTCTTGCAAACAGCCCCTGCCGTGTCCAATTGATCCCACTGCAACAGTAACCCCACAAGCTTCATGTGAGCATTCCCCCGCCTCACTCTGCCTTTCCACATTGCTGACCCCAGAATCTACCCTGATCAAGACCGACACAGCTGCTGAGGTTTGGGTGAGTGTTCCCACAGGGCTATGTGTAAAAGCTTGGCGATACTGGGAGATGCTGTGCACTGTGGATGTCCCCTCAGACGGGCTGATGCTGAAGCAGGGAAAGCACAGAGGAGGCACAGAGAAGCTGTGCGCCCCACATGCTGACATAGGCTGCGGCTAGTACTTACCGCCAACACACAGAGTAAGGGCAGATGGGGTGCACAGACAGGAAGCTAGGTGCTCTGTCTTCAGCACTCTGGGCTGCTACTGTAGAAATATCATAGATAAGATAGCTTAAACAACAGACCTTTATTACAGTTCTAGAGCCTGGGAAACCCCAAGTCGAGGGTCCAACCAATTGGTTCCTCGAGAGGACTCCCTTCATGGTTTACAGAGTGTTGTCTCCTCTCCATGTCTTCGTGAGATGGAGAGCCAGCTTTCTTGTGTCTCTTCTTCCTAGGGCACTAATCCCTTCGTGAGGACCCCACTCTCATGACATCATCTAATTTAATGGTCTCTTGAAACTTCATCTCTAGACTCCGTCACATTGAGGGGTAGGGATTCAACACAGGAATTTGGGGAAGGCATAAACATTCAATGCAGAATCATCCCCAATCTCTTATGGGAGTTCAGGTCCAGGGTGGAATATCCCCCAAGCAAAGAAAACTATTTCTCAGGTATAGTCAGAGATCAATAGTGTGGTGGGGTGGACAGGCGTGGGGCTTTGAAGTAAGCACTGTGTTCTCTGCTTCCCCCTGACTCTGGCACACACCTCTACAACCAAGACCTGAGCCAGCCAGATCCCACTTCCGTCTGGTCAGATAATTGGAAGCATTTCACCACACACTGTGGTGCTGAGATCTGGTCCAAGAGAGCCAGATCTACGTAACAACTTAGACCTCTCAAAAGTGTAGTTGCATAGAACCAAAATCCTTTATAAGACTGCAGGACACAGATTTTTTTTTAAATAGTCAAGGAATTTCCAGCCCCATCGTTCCACCCATGCCTTTCACCAGAGTGGAATGTAGAAGGTAAGGGGCATCAGTCCTAAAGTAAAGACCCTGGAGGGCAGGGACTGGTGAGCAGGGAATTAGAAATGGGAACAAAGAAGGAAATGCTGTGTCTCTGTCCTCACTCAGGGTGCAAACCAGCGCCACCCCGGGATGGTTCACTCCCCGTTCTTGCCCCACAGCCACCCACCTATCTCAGATGCTCGGAGATTCCGTCCCCCAGACTCTTCTTGGCTTTTACCATTCTGCACTTGGTACTTCCAGAACATCAAATAATTCATCTTCCGGATTCATTTTTCTTTTTTAAAAAATGATCAGGTTCAGTGAGTTATTTCAAGGAAAAAAAAAGTTCCCCAATTTTGTGATTTGGGTTTTGAACTTTAAGTTTCTCAAGCAGGGCAGAAGCTAAGAGCTGGACAAGCCATAGGTAGTTGCAGTTTATTGTAATAATAATCCCATTTGCCTGCATGCATTCAAGATGATAAATGGCCACTGTATCCTGATGGCTCAGCACATTACTGAGGATCATTTATCACAGCATCCATCCCCAGGAAATAGAATTGTTCACACATTACTCCACTTACCAAAATGAGAAAATAATTTTTTCCTCTTTTCCTAGTACACATTTATCTGTAGGCAAATGCATGTGTATCTTCGTGTGGGCATATTTTCTTATCCACGCACCGCGATGCAGCTGGTTTTATGAGCGAGAACAAAAGATGAGGTACAGCTTCAGATTTCATTTGTGTTTGAGGTGTCACCTACATTATGTGGTCCGAGGTCAGATCCCTATGCAGGAAGGCTGCTTCACAGAGTACCTCTGATTGGGGCCGGGGATACAGCTCAGTAGTCCAGTGCCTGCCTGGCAAGCATGAGGTCATGAGTCCAATCCCTGGTACCAAAAACTAAAATAAAATAAAATTAAAAGTACATCTGATTGATCAGGAGGGGAGAGAATGAATGCACCTGAGTGGAAATAGCACGTTTCTTGAGAAATTAGCATCTTAAACCAATATTTATATTGAATTGATCACTGTAAATTAAAGACGAAGAATTATCTTTCAACATACAGGCAGGAGAAAATTCACTAAATTATCTTTCTGAAAGTTTAGGCAGAGCAACCAATAGTTACATTGATAACTGTAAGGCGGAAGGGATTGTGATAATAATAACAACACTAATAGAATTTCCACATTGCTCGGCTCTTACCAGACTGTAAGTGAATATAAACTCACCCACCTTCTCCTCACCCTGTCCAATAGTGCCCACTTTGTACAGGTGAGAAACACAATGGCAAGGTTAACGTCTTTTCCCAACTCTGAGTCATAAAGTGAATTTACTTGGTTTGAAAAAATATGCACACATGTTAAATATGTGTGCATTTTTCACAGAATGTGATTTTTATTTGACTGGTTAAAATTCAGAGCCATGTTTATAAAGAACCAAGGCAAACCAGGCTCCTTCCACCCAATCCTAGGTGAGGAACACAGAGCCCAAGGACTGACCTTCCCTCAGTCTCACCGTAACATGACAGTTTGGTAAAATGTTGTCACAGAACAAATTCATCTGGCAAAGGTTATCGATGAAGAAGCAGCCGGACCACTCTGTTGCCCTCTTGTAAACAAAGAAGCTGTGTGACTGTAATGCCAGCAGCTGGTACTTTCTGAAACTTCAGGGATATCAGCCCTGCCCTGTGCTCCTTCTGGAATCATTTGATTTCATTTTCACATCGGTGCTGTGCTGAGCATTGCACCCTCCTCATTTTGCAGATGAGAAAATTGAGGCTTGGAGAAAGACCACCAATGCCTGAGACTGCACAGCCAATAAGTGGGAAAGCCAGACTTTGAGTCTGAGTGTCTGACACGAGACCCCGGGGCTTGTAAGCACCACACAGTATTTCATTACATGAGCACCCGTCATTTCCCACTGTTTAGATAACAGTGTCAGATTTTTAAAAGGGATAAACATTCACTCAATTTTCCTTTTTTTTTTTCCTATAGCTCCATCAGACAGGCAGCCATAATCATTAAGTAAACCCTCTATGTAACAGTGTTCTTTAGGGGGCCATGCTATTAACAAAAACTTTTTCCACTTGATAGTCTTCATTGTGTCTTCATCTTCATAACTTTTAAGTACCTGAAACTATTTAGTGAAGCTTTACGTCTCCAAGCTCACTGGAATTCAAATCCAGTAGGTACCAATTTCAGTGACCATGAAGGAACTGTGAAAATGCAGAGGTTAGACAAAAAGGGGGGGGGGGGCGGCTGGGGATTTAGCTCAGCGGCATAAGCACCTGCCTTGCAAGCAGGCAGTCATAAGTTTGATCCCCGGTACCGATAAAAAGGAAAAAGACAAAAAAAAAAGCAGAGGTTACATTTGAAAGAGCCGTGTTGGGAGCCAGCTCTGCATGGTCCAAAGGTCCATGGAGCAAATTCACCTGTATCGTTTCAAGGTGGGAGCAGTCAGTTCTTCTGCTATGGTGCAAGTCTTTCTTACCACCATTTATTTTTGCTTTCCAATATTCAGGACTTTATGAACTTCAAATAATACAAACTGCATTCTATTAACAGGAATCTAGAAATATTCTGCATCTGGCTCCAACTCCTGTTCTTCTACTGTCCAGGCCATTTGCCTCTGTGACCTTGGAGATTCTGTTAGCTTGGATCTTGGCCCCTCTCCTATAAAATGTGACTGTTGGACTAAGGCACTTCTAAAGCCCTTTCTGATTCTGACAGGCTATGCTTCAGTAACCCAATGAAAACAGCCAGGTCTCCTTTTCCTTTCCAAGACCCTCATGGTAGTGTATATTCACAATTCTCCCTAAAGGCCATCTCAGGGTTCCATGCCAGGCTACCCCATAAAGACTACCAAAGACCACAGAGAGGACAGCAAGAATCTTCCAGGCACAGCCACTTCAGAAAGCTCTCAATACTGGAACAAAAGACTGTGAGAAAGTAATCACGGGATCAGAACAGGCATCTTTTTGTAGGCTACAGTCTACAGGCTATAGTACAGTATACAGGCAATGTAGAGTTAGAAAAAAGGCAGGAATTTGTAACCCAGATAAACCTGGGATTGATGCCCATCTCAGCCCATTTCCCAGCTATATGATACTGGAAAAATGACTTCATGTTATAAGTCTCTAGGTGTCACAGAATACCTACTCAAGGCACTATCCCATGTACAAGTCCTGCATATTGTCTCTTCACAGGATTATATGAGAGAAACAGTGAGAGGTGCCCCAGGGAAGCCTAAATCTCCCCAGCCCTCCCCAGTCATCCACTGGAGAAGGCTTATCCATGAGACTTGGGAAGATACAAGAATGCTCTGAGGAGGAAGAGGAGAGTCAAGAACCACAGAAGGTCTCTCCATTGCCAAGGCAGATCAGGACCTTGGCAATAAAAAGTAGCAGAAAGATGCATTAATAGAGAGAAGCCAGTGTGGTGGTCAGATAGGGCTGTGAACTACAAAGCATGAAGATTCAGAAACTCAGATGGCAGCAGGCAGGGTCATGGTCCAGGTGTTGGAGCTGGAAACAAGGTTGGTGGGAGCTGGTAACAGCTACTTAGAAAGTCAGGGCCATAGCAGAAGCAGCTGAAGATTCCAGCCAGACTCAAATGCCAGGAGGGAGCTAGAGGTAGATCATTCATACAGATGAGGCTACTGTGGAGGTTTTAAGGTCAAACTAGAGTGTGGTTGCCTCGTAGCTGGGTGGGACTCTGCCCAGGTCGTCACTTCTACTGGGAGACCACTAGGTGCTCCCAGGCAGAAATAACCAGGACCCAGTAATACTGTTAGTGACCAGCTCTGCAGCACCTCCTACAGGGCCCTCGTTTCTAATTGCTGAATCAGTCCAGGATGCCCTTTAGTCCTCTAACCACTGTCCACCAAGGTAAAAAGTGGCCAGGCAGGGGTCCTCCCTGCTTCCTGATGCAGGAAGAATGGAATCTACAGTAAAACAGAATCTGCCAATCTCTCTCTTTCCCATCTTTTCAGTGAAATCCAGCCCAACGCCACCGTGGAATGGGAAGAAATATGTCGGCCATGGGTCTCTGGTCCCCGGAAGTTGATAGCCAGCATGACCAGTGATTCCCTGAGACACGTGTATGGCGAGCTGAACTTGCAGATTCAAAGACGACCTTCCACCTAAATGTGCAGGGGGCTGAGATGGACCCGGGTACTTGGCCCCTTTCATTATTGGCTAAGGAAATTCTAATGCAAAAATAGTTAGCTCTTGCTTTAGCAGACATGAAGACCCACACGGACTGGGAGGGCCCAGAGCAAGGATGTCATGCATTTCAGAAACACTTTCCCAAATCCAGACTATCCAGTGTGGAAGTTAGGTTTTGAATCACCCCTTCCAAGGATTCTGAGAATTAACTTTAAGCTCTAATTAAGCTCTCATATGAGTAAAAATCATCATTTATCATTGCACATGGCTGTGACTCCAAATATCAGAGAGCTTCCCTTAGCAGGAGGATCTGCTCAATACCTGGCCTCATTTAAAATTTCTGATCCCCCACTTAGGCTTTTGGGGTTAACACATGCCTCCTGCCAAGGGAAAGGAGCATATGATTTGGTCCTTAGAATTCTATCCTCATTTCTTGGAATCAGGTTCCACCCTCCGTGTTAGAATCTTGGTCCCAGGAATGAACACATCATTTTTCCTCCTGGCAAAGCCGGGAAAGGTTGTTCATCTTGCACCTGCAGCCAGGCAGCTTCCTGCCAAATTTCACAGCTTCGCCTTGCAAGAAGATGCAGCCCCATATTAACAAATTGCATTTGTGGGAAACTTAATCACCTAGGAGGTGTGAAGAAAGCAGGTGCGGTCTTCGGGTCTATTAAATAATGTAGCTTTACGGTGCATGGGATAGGCAGCCTGACCAGCGGGAATCAGCATCCCTTAATTTAACCCTTTCTGAAATGCAGATGTAGAAAATCATAAGGCTTACTTGGGACGGCAGGAAGGAGGAATTATTCTCCTTAATTAGTGGGTACCCTTCTCCTGTGTCTCTAGAATCATCTCCTTTGTGCAGTGACACAGGCACAGGTCATTTTTAGAGCTGGAAAAACCCAACAGGTCGGAAAAGCTGGCAGATTTAGCAATGAGACTCTACACAGGCAGGCAGGTACTGAGGTACTGATGCCCTCTTCACCTTCATAGTGCGTACATTGAGACTTCAGCTCAGCCTCCAGGTGCCAAAAGGTACCATGGCCCCAGTCTTACCAATAGCCAGTGCTAGTGCTGACCCAGTGACAAATGATGCCAGGAGCCTTTGTGTTATGCTCCAAGAGCCCAACAGTCAAAGCTACTGGCATGTATTTGTAAGGTGGATAGATGGTCTTAATTTCCCATTGAAATGCTTTGGTGTGATTTAGGTTGGTAGATTATGACTGACAAAAACACAGTGGGAAAGAGGGTGGGGGAGTCAGAATGCAATGCTGCAGCCTGCATAACTACATTTCTAAGCCTCTGAGATATTTCCTGAGCCTCCAGCACTAACCCTTCAGGCAGTGAGTCCCCTCTACCAGTGCATCCCAGTCACATGCATCCCCCAGCATTGCGAGCTTTTCAATACCAAATCCTAAAACAAAATGGATTTTGCTAGATTGTTAACTGGCTTACCTTCGTATGTTATTAATGAGAATGTAATAGATGCTTAAAATAAAGTTACCCTGATTACATTTGCATCTGCGCGGAAGTGAATGCTGTGAAATTTCAGAGCATCACACAGCCACTCACGGTGTCTGAGAAACTGTCCGCCCTCAGTGGTGAAGAAGCCACCATGGACAGGAGGACAGGCATTTGTCCTTTACAGAATGTAACACTAAAAAGTATTAATGGCCCAGTTAGTTTTCCTCACTTCTCGTCTGCATTTTATTAACCACATTTACTGAAGGAAGATGCTTATTAACCACATTTACTGAAGGAAGACTGAAGGTACCAGCTTCCAGAAACTGAAAAACCTCCATAAACATCTCCCATGGATGATCCTGTGCCTGCTGGTGAGTCGGTAGATAACTGGCACAGGGACCGATGACAGTGACCACCTGGTATGAACTTATGCAGAGATTGAAAAAGTGTGGCACAGGTGCGCAGAAGACCTGAAATCCATGGTGAATGTCACTGAATAATTACAACTCAGACAGTGCCTCAGAATCCTTCCTGACTCCAGATAGCAACTATCAACTGATCTGGAGTTCATCAGGCACTTAACTGAAAACAGGCACATTGCTATTATGATGGTCTAATAGATGCTTAAGGTTACTCTGATCATACCATGTATGATGTAGCAGCCAGGGAACGCTGCTAACTGACTAGGCACACGAGATGAAACCAATCTGTCTTGTCTACCTTAGACCCAGCCATTGCCCTCAGGCAGTTGTGCTTCTGCACTGTCTGATGCTGCTGCTGCAGTTCTGTCTTAGGGGGAGTGTCCCCCAAAGGCCCCAAGCATGGCCCTGCTGGGGAAGTGGTAGAGTCTTTAGGCAGTGGGGCCTGGTGGCAGGTCATCATGTCACTGGAGCATGCCCTTGAAGAAGACAATGGGACCCCCCTCCCAGCCCATCCTCATGCTATCTCTCACTTGCTGACCACCAGGAGAGTGGCTTTCCTCTGTCATGTGCCCCACACCATGCACTGTGCTGCCACAGGCTCAGAAGTAATAAGTTCAGTCCACCATGGCCTGAGACCTCCACAACATAAGCCAAAATAAACCTTTTCACTTTATAACATGATCATCTCAGGTATTTGCTCCAGTAACAGAAAGCTGACCAGCTCAAATGCTGTAGCTTTAAAAACCATGTTAGGGATGGTGATAAGAAATGTGTCCCAGCTGGGAGCAGAGACTGAGAGTTCCAGTGTCTGCCTCTGCTGATCCTCAGTGCTTTTTGAACACATCTTTATTTGTGTTTGGAGCTTCCAGACAAAAGAAAGATAATGATACTTATGTTCTCACAAGAGCCTTCCAGGGATTGTAGCAAACCAACCTTAAAAACAGCGCATTGTTTGGACCATATTTCATGCCTATGTCTTGTACTCTGAGTAACTACTCTGAAGACAACAATATACAATGTATTAATTATTGTTACTGTCTCATTAGCATATTTTGAAACTTTTATTGCCATTATTATTTTTTATTTTTGTCTTAAAAAATAAAAATATTATAAAAGTAAGAAACAAAAAAAAACACACAAAATGGATAGATACATAGATAAAGACACATTATACTTTTTCAAATAAGCTCACTCACCAACCTCGTGAAAGTAGTACCTATAAGTGCTTAATGAGGAACCTAATAAGGGCTAAGGAGCCATTTATCCCTGGAAATCAAGCTGGGATTGGAGTATTCAATAAAAACAAACTCTTGTTTTAGAATAACATTTGTCACACTCTCTTTAATCTCCTGTCTCCTTGGAGTTTTAGGAATGCTGACTTCAGACCAACTTAAGACTCAAAGATCTGCAGAATAACAACAAATAAAATATGCACCAGTTTAAAAAAGGGTGTGGGGAAATAGTCTTCGTGGTAGACTCACTGGCAATCAGCGACCACAATCCCAGGCAGAAGGTCGTTTTAGTCATTTCAATGTTATTATAAACTAGGCATCCTTCCATTTTTCTGTCATTCATCCACCGCCTTACTCTTCAGCCAAACATCCAGCGTTCCAATCATCTATCCACCCTTTTATCCAACTGTCCATTCACGCATGCATCAAACATCATTCTCGAGCCTACAGATTCAGTAGTGAGAAGCCCATGGTCCCTTCTCAGAGGCAGCAGGGACTCAAGACGTGGAAGCAGGTAAAGTGCATCGTGGGAGGCAAAATAGTAAGGACATGCCCAGAGCCTTGTGGGCTCACCACTGTTCTAAGACTTAAATGCTTGTCTACGTGTGTTTCAGAAGCCCTGAAACCAACACAAGAAGTCCTGAGGAGTATTTTCTATTAGGAAACTGAATGTCCCTGTAAGTCAAAGAGAATTCTTTTCTCTCTGATTTGAGCAAATTTAGGCAATGGCAAAAAATAAGATGAAAACATTATAATAAAAGTGCATACAACGAGAGTGTTATGATAAAGAGGCAGATTTTAAAGGATCATAAGATTGCTACTCTTTCCTGAGAGAAGGACCCTTGTTCCCTTTCCTCCTCTTGATTCTAGACAGCTGTGTGGCTGTTTTAACCTATGGAATGTGATCTAAGCAGTGCTGCCAGTTCCAAGGAGGTCGCTTCTGCTTCTTGTCTCTAGAAATCCACTTTATAGAAGCCCCAAGAATAAAAGCATAACTAGCCTGAGACGGCTGCACTGCAGCAGCCTACGTGGACACACCAGCCACATTACCTACTAAGCTCAACCCTGCAGCCACCTCTGCCCAAGCACCAGACCCAACAGTGAAGCCACCTAGCACCCTCCCGACCAATGTGCCCACCAGCGCTAACCACTTGGCCACCTCACTCAGTGCCACCTTGGGCAGAAGAACTGTCCTGGCAAGCCATGGGCAGATTCCTGTTCCACCAAATGATGAAAAATAACAAAATACTTATTTTAAGCCACCGGATTTGAGACAATCTGCTGTGCAGTAAGACATCCTCACAGCACTTAACCCTCACAATCTCAAGAAAGGAGATGATGCTATTTTTTATTTGCTTTAAGCAAATGCTCTGTGTTTTAGAAGTTTGCCTCTTCTTTCCGAAGAAAATATATTGATAGATACGTATGTCATTGCTCCTTGGTAGCCTCCAGAGACCTCACATGTTCTTCCAAGGGTAATCATTTAACATGGCCAGTTCCTTGTAACTCTTCCTACTAAACTAAGATTTTTCTGGCCTTTTTACCACACTCAGCTCCAGAAAGATTTGGAGCCAGGAGAGGCAACTTGAAGAGGAGAGAAAGGCACAGTGCTGAGAAATGTAGGTGCTTCCTCCCCAAAGCTTAGGAAATGAGACCTTCCCAATGAGGACCCCAAACCGGCCACACAAGTTGAGCATCATTTATCTGAAATGCTTGGAACTTCAGCGGAAGCATTTCAGATGTCAGATTTTTTTCAAATTTAGAAGTATTTTATATTTACATAAGATATTCCAGGGATGGAACCCAAGTCTAAACACAAAATTTGTTTATGTTTCACATACACCTTATGTGCACAATCTGAAAATAATTTTTTACAGTATTTTAAATAGTTTGGTGCATAAAATGGAATTTGGGGGGATGTGTCTGTTCTGTTTTGTTTTTAGTGTTAGAGATCAAACCCAGGCCCTTGCACATGCCAAGTGCAGGTTACCACTGAGTCACAGCCTCAGCCCCACAGAGCAGTCTCATGGTGGACAGGCTTCCACTTGGGGTGTGAGCGGGAAAACACTGCTTCTGACTTTTGCAGCATTTTGAGTTTGGATATTTGGATTTGGGATGCTTGGCCTGTTCACAGCCCCTGGAAGAAGAAAACCCACAGTGACCAGAGAGCAGTTGTTGGTGACGATAACCCAGATATTGGCCATGGTGTCAGAAGCAGTCACGCTTCCACCACGCGATGCCAGAGACACCAGGGCTGTCATGCATGCTTGCAACGTGTCCAGGACTCGTGGCTGGCCACACGAGCCATCTGCTCTCTTGCCCAGCCTCCACCCACCAGGTTGTCATGTCACAGCAGGCACCTGTGTGTCTGCACATCCACCTCAGAGGGGTGTCCCAGGCCTAGGAAGGCCTCTCGCCAGTGCTGTTCCCGAGGTCCCTGAAGATACCTGATGGTTTGTCTCTGGAGTGCAACATTCTTTCCTGCACTGATCAATACCTGCAAGATTAAGACTCCAACCCACCTCGCGGGGCCCTGACCTCAGACGAGAGATTCTTAAACTTAGTAGAGGACAGGTACATGATGAACCAGTGCACGTAAGAGGATTCTGAGTATTTTCTGGATCACAGTGGCACCTTTATTGTCTTACTTTTAGGGACACTTTATCATTCACATATTTTTGCTGTTTCTGGTACGCCTCGTGACTGATAGAATCCATATTGGGACACTGTACCTCGCAGGGATTTCGGATGACAAAGACACATCCCACCAACCATTTTTCCATCCCTGTGGAACCCACTGAGGCAGAAGTGCCCAGGGTGGTGGCCTGTTACTGCCAAACTTGCTTCTTGCTACATTACTTTTATTATAGACACAGGCTGAGCTCATGAAAATTGTTCTTTCATTTTAGCTATAACCATGAATTCAAAAATTATAGCTGTAATAAAGGAATTTGCCTTTTATGCTGATCATTACAAAGAAATGCTGGATATCTACAGTAATAGTCCAATTAACTTTATCGAGTGCACAACACTAAAAACCCATATAGATCAACAAAATATTATTATGACATGGATTTGAATAATTGGTATAATACAATAAAACCTCTCTATTGTGAAAAACAGTAGGCTTCAGTTTGCTAGCAGTGTCATCCAGAAAATAAAGGTCATTAGCCTTGAAATTTATACTTAAAAACTCCAAGCTGACTTAGATAACCTACAGATTGGAAACATAACATAGAAGCATCATACTTTGATTTTTTTCCTTAATCCTAGCTATCTTTTAAAAAGTCTAATGTAAGGACAGTATTGTATCTGGGTATTCTAATTAGTTCCTGATGTTTCATCCTGTTAATTCTCAGTCAACATAAAACAAAAACCCAGTGAAGTATTGACTCTGTCTTG